AAGGATATCGCCGGAAGAAGGCGTCTTTACATAATCGTAAGTTTACCAATGAAGTCCGATTGGCCGTTCAAAATGAGAGCTCATCGAGAAAGAAGAAACCCGTGCGTAACCAAGGACCCGAGCTCGAAAGAATCGAAGACGAATTGATGTGGCTACAACTTATTGGGAAATTTCTGATCGTGCACACTAAAGACGTTGAAGAGACTGCCGAAATGATTGGAATTCTTTCATCAGACATAGCAAGAATTCCATACAAGTAAGTCATGACCGGTTAAAACTTGAAAGTTAAGGTGAAAGATAGAAATGAAGTTGATTGTGACAATAAACAGAAATCGAAATGGGAATTTGGACTTTTGGGTCGAGAATCGAATTCGAACTGGTGCAGACTGCAGTGATACATGGCTACGTATGTTGCAAGAGATTCAGCTCGTGACGCATCCTGTCGCCAAAGGAGTAGTAAAATCATACCCAACCGTCAAATTGTTATATGATGGGTACAAGAAATGCGATACTCGAGAAGAAGCTGAGAATTTATTGGCGGACGTTGAGGTTTTTGCACATTTTAGATGAGCATCAGCGTGGAATGGTTTAGTCATCATATTTCTAACAGCAAACTCATTCTATATAGATTTCAAACACCGGTCTCGGTCAACGGAACAGACATTTGAACAAAGCCTTGTCAAAGAAGATCTACGAAATATTCATGGGTAATGATCCGAATGCAATCGTATCATGATGAACATTTTCTCGAATATTTACATAAAAGTTTCGATTTATTAAACAATTTTCTAAGAATAAAAAAGTAATCTAATTTAACGAACAACAAATTGGCATTTCTTTTTGATATACAAAGCTATGAGTTTAAAATTCAATGTCTAAGCAGCGACAGCATCTGAGAATACACCATATCAAAACGAACTTGAGTAGAAATTTTGCAATGGCGGAGTTTCGATAGGCAAATGAATTGACCAATCAAAAATGAAATTGAGCCCACAAATCTACCGAGTCTTTTTTTGATCTTTTTTTTTTTTTTCTTTTGATAACTCTACTACTACATCATACCATGGAAGAAGATAGCTCACAACGCACATCCACAACGAATGACGATATTATTAAATATGTGCCATATTCTTCGGAACTTCAACTTCCCGGCATCATGTCTCTAATAGAAAATGATTTATCCGAACCTTACTCAATATACACATATCGTTACTTCATTAATAATTGGCCAGATTTATGTTTTATGGTAGGGAATGATTGATAGTCGGATTAGTAGAGAGTTTATTTTCGTATTTGTTTTTTTCAGCTCATTTGCTGGTATTGATCAATGAAAGGCCATGGATGAGGATCAATGTATTGGAGTCATAATATGCAAACTTGATAGACATCGAGATGCACTGCGCGGGTATATTGCGATGTTGGCGGTTAAGCGAGAATATCGAAAAAGAAAGATTGGTTAGAAGCATTCTAAGATGTCATCTTTCCTTTTAGACTTACTCGTCGTTGAATGGAGGACTAATGGGTTTTACCAAATTTCTTATCACAGGAACCACGCTGGTAAGGATGGCTATTAATTCCATGAAAAGACAGAATGCGGACGAGGTACATATCCAAACAATCCAATAATCATTCACGGTTAACTACCTAATGCAATTCAATTCAACGCGCAAATTCCATCTTGTTCACACCATAAAGGTTGTCCTTGAAACAGAATACACAAATATAGGAGCACTTTCGTTATACCATAACTTAGGATTTATCCGAGATAAGCGTCTTTATCGATATTATCTTAATGGGGTTGATGCGTTTCGATTAAAATTATTTTGCAAAGGTGAACCTGAGGCTGAAAGAGAGGGGGTTAGCGGATAAAAACAAAAAATCATGTGGGCGCAGACATGTGCTTCTGGAATTTAAGGTTTGAACAATGCTGATAACATTTGGATCCAAAAGAACTTCTTAAGCTTGTATACGTACTTACATTGTATTGAATGTAGGAATTTTACATTTCTGTGATTTATCATTTCTAAATTCAGTCGAATCACGATTCTTCATTGAAATATTTTGGAAGTTTGATAGATAATTATGTATGCTGATAAGTAAATGATAATCCGGTCATTACCGATGAGTCGAAGGCCGCGCATTGCCGACTCAAAGTTCTCGATAAAAAAACAAAATCGTTTCATAAGGACAAGATGGGCGTATCTCTTCGGAAATGGGTTGTCGTCGACAGTCCGTATCTAATTTTCCAGCTTGGAGCAAGCAACCATCAATCATTGTGCGCACAGGACAAGCCTCACTCTTGTGACCTTATTTGTAGGGTTTGATTATCGATTCAAATGAGCTCATGATAATCATTAGTTGTTAGTGGGTTGACTCATTTTTTCATGTGCAATTTGTCCATGGAAATACACCATTGGCTTGGTACTGGGTGCCTTGGGAACTAAGGGAATCGAATAGAGGAAAAGATCTTCTCCATTAATATAAGGTTGTTGGATCTTAGAAAATGTTATCTCATTGGAGAATGCAGTTATGCACCCAAAGGCTTACGTACGTACGTACGTACGTACACATGTATAGAATTATTTTAAATAAATCCTTACTTATTTTAAATGTTACACTACGTATCATTTTGTTGTAACTGTACACAAGGCTGACTACATTGTGCTGGTATAGTATTTATTTCGGAGAATTTATTAATATGATAAAAATGGACATCTTGGTATTATGTTGGTTGCTTATTTTAAAGTAGAAATCACACGCAAGTTTCATTTCATAACAAAGAGATTCATGCTATTTGTCGATTGTGTAGCGATTCATCCCTTTTCCATATTAGATTGACAACTTCGCAACCGACAGCTTACGACTTACCGGTCGGCAAGAGGTTATCTCTCTTCTCAAGTTAAATACTTACTGTTGAGTAACCATTGTAACTTCAAAGTGGCACGGTCTTCTTTTTTTCTTCTTGACTTTAAGTCACTGACTCACCCACCAACTGAAACCCCGATACCTGTGGGATTTACTTCAAGCATTTATACAAACACATCTTTCGGCACCCATACCATACTTTAATTATCGAAGCAGGTTTAACTATAAATGACCATAGTTATCTCTTAATAGCTAAAAAAAAGAAAAAGGATCTAATATTTAAAGAAGAAGTAGATGATGAATGGTGATCGTCTTTCAAGCACTTCAAAAACTCGTAAACCACGGGTGAAAAATAGCGCAAAACTTACACTCGATACAGCACGTCTATCACCGCCTCCACTCTTTCGTAGCAATACCGCACCTGGTAAATCTGGTGCCAGTATCACCAATACCGGCGCCCGTACCCCTCGAAGCGGTAACTCGATTTCGTCTGAAAAAGAGAAAGTCAGGTCAGACGATGGCTTTCAATCTGATTCTGATAAAGATAGCAACCAATCTGCACATTCTGTTCACTCAAATTTAAGTGCGTACAGTGGCATGAGCAGAACCCCTTCGATCAAGTCGGATACCATCGTACGTGTTCGACCAAAATCCTCTCTTGGATCCGACCTTTCAGATAAGTCTCAATTGGACAGTCTTAGTCTTGCTCACCTGGCGGTTAATCGTCAACTGCAAGCCGATAAACAAGCGGAAGAGGCAAGAAAAAATAGGAAGGTGAGTTTCACCCTGTGCTCGTAGATTTTCAAATTTTTTTTTTTTTAAAGAAAGATTTTTTATAACCAAATAAATTGAAAGTTCAATCATTGATATCAATCATTCATAACGACCAGATTGCGGATTTGGAAATCTCTATAAGATCATTGACAGCAATAAATGCTGAATTGGACGCAACCAACAAAAAGCAAGCTGCCGAGATTATAGAATTGAAGAGGAAACTCCGCATGTACGTACATTTGCTGAATCCTTAACAGAACTATTATTTTTTTTATTTTCTATCGTTTACCGCATTAATAACATTCCCTTCATTTCGATATTTATAGATATAATGATGATTCTTTCATGTCTGAAATATATGACATCGATGATGATATATCTTCGTCATTAACAGAGGCAAGTGTTGTGCATAGAAGAGTTTATTGTTTTTTTATCCCGAGGTAAATTACTATCTCCTTGTCCTTCACTTTCAAATTATAACAAGATTTATTTCATTTTATCCATTTAGCGGGAATTAGCGGAAATAGCTAAGGAAAATGACATTCGATTTCGACGAATATGCCACGCAATGGATGAACTGCTTCGAGATGCCCAAGCAGCCCTTGATTATTCGACAAAAATAGTAGGAAGTAGAGTAATAACGGATGCACATTTGGGTACGATAAAGCCCAGCTTGAATTTATTTAT